GATATTTTAAATCTTTGGATAAAGCAGCTAAGAGAACTGATTGATTGATGATGAATTGATGTTATTTGGATTGCAATCGAACATTTTCAAGGAAAAAACTCAGTGAATGAGGCTTACGTTAATTATAAATATTAGTGGTGGACATTATYATTTCAGGCCACGTGATAGCACAGGCATATTTACCCAAGCCTATCTTATCAACAAAGATGGAACAAATGACTTGGAAACAATATCGACTGCTTTTCAGAATGGCTTAAGTGGTAACAGTGACACAGTTAAAGTAGTAGGTTAGTTGTCTTGGCAACGAAAGTTTACAAAATTACAGTAAAAAASAAAAAGACAGAAAAACGCATTAMAGTCAACCCTCACCTTACGGACACCCCGCTACAACGGACAMCTCGATATTGCGGACAGTAATATACTGATTCCCTGGCGAAAAATACAAAGAAATGACTGAAAGTAACTCGTTACTACGGACTCTCACTACTGTGGTCATTAAATTACGGTCCCGAGGGTGTCCGTAATAGCGAGAGTTGACTTTATATCGTAAAATATTAAGATCAATAAAATTAAAGATCAATATGAATCAAACTTTCATTTTCTTAATATGAAATTTACTTTTTCATTTCATTTATATTTTATTTTCATTTTTCAGTTACCGACATGAGATGTCAATATAGAAGTGTCTCCATGTACCTCAGTGATCAATATACGTTTCCAAAAGGAGTGCCRTGCTCCATGAAATATACCATAGGAGTAGATATCAACCCCTTGACGTGTAATAAAAGTGATTTACAAATCATAAACAGAACCAAGGCGTTTCTCATCGATCCAAAGACCTTAAAACTGAATGGGGAAGTACTATTACTTGACACAGAAAATGGMACTACAAATCCAGTTATTACCCCTGGCAAGCTTAAGTATGGCACCTATTTAATAAGGTTGAGAACATATATTGTATATTCCAGAGTAGTTCATGAATTCCGATATGGATATATCAAGATCACTGAAGTCACACCAACTTTGACGGTGACAACATCTCCTTCCACCCTTACAAGCATTGATCCTCTTGAACACAAGACCATTTCTCTGCATGCAAATCTTACYTTTCGTTATGGRTGTCCACCWGAAGCGGGTTTTGACTGGAGATTTGTAAAATACTATTGGTACTGTAGACGTTCAACAGAGCGGCCTTTGTTTTTTGTAAGAGACTTAAATGCGCTTCCTTACAYCACTCCATCGCTCAACTCGAGTGTAGACAATGGAGGCTGCTTTGGCACGGGACCTGGTTTACTGAATACAACAAACTTTGAATTAGTTCTCAAGACAACAGAGCTTGTGCCCAATATTACACTGACGATGGAATTGATTACTGTCATAGCTAACACTAGACCTTATAAAACGGTTCTAATCCAGATTGCTGCAAAGAACGACAACAATCCAGAAGGTAAGGGCACTACGACTATCAGTATTAAAGTCAGTAGTGTTTTTCTACGCAGAAAAAAGATTCTGTGTTCATTTTCAGATGGTAGACTGCTTGTAAGTTATAAACTTACTCGATTTCATGCAGCTAAAACTTGACTTATTTCTCGCTGTGATTGTATTGCTTATTTTTATTCATTTATTTTACCATTCATTCATAAACKTTTAGGTTCAGATGAAAAKTGGTCAAAAATCTACTGCTCGTTCAGGATAACCTCCATCCCCTTCAACAATTTCTTGTTGAACAAAACATCACGCGAATTTATAGACTTGTCCATTGAAATCGTTACTTCGGTAAGTGAAACTCTGTATGCAAGATATGCTGTACTCGAAATTTGCAACCACATTTCCAATGAACGTTTCTTATGATAATCAAGAAATTTCTTACTGCGTATTTTTTTGTTTTGTGTCATATTTTTCAGATACAAGTGCTATACGAACAGCTTAAAATCACGGCGAAGTGGAAAGTCAACCAATTCTTGTAAGTTGAACGACTGCTCGACAGTCAAAAATAACATGAAAATGGTCGGCAATTGAAGGAGGTAACGATTATCATGATAAGAGAATTTGACAAACGTTCTTTAGGAATGGCAGTGTTATTGTACAGCTAGAAGTGGAGTTTAATCCAGCAAAAATGTCCGTCGAAAAATTGAAAGAAATCTTTCACAATGGCATACGGAATGGCAGTCTTGGCAGAATGGAAGTGGATCGAAACACTGTGGTATTCTCTAGTACCAATACAAGTGGTATGCATGTAAAAGTAGTATTTCATTCATGCTGTCATTATCAGGCCCCATTCATTGACCTGCACAGCGCCATCAAGCAAAACTGCCAGTGCTTTCGACCTCACTACCACCACTGTTGCAAACTTCTTCTTCTAAATTTTTTAGATTCCATTAGTGGAGTCCTGTATTTCAGTAGCAAAATTAAGATTCTTGGCAACTGGAATTTTAACGAATCAGTTTGGAGTAGTCGATGTTCTTCCGAATTTTTGAATCTCTCATCTCAGCTGACCAATGCGGTAAGGTGCTCAATTTCATTGTAGTTCCCTAAAAAATGGAAACAATCAAGTGTTTTTCCACTCGCACTGATTGATAACCTCTCAATGTTTTTATATCCTACAGATTTATGAAAGATTGAGTCAACATGGATTTTCTGGAAACGTCAGACAACTGCAATTTCTTTACTTTCTGTAAGTATATTCCAGTCAAGGATATCTTGAGTCAGCTTTGTGGAACTTGTCGATGTGTACTGCTCACGTTGATACCAATTCTTTTCAAGGCCCGATGGCTCAGCGAACTTTTCAGGACAAGTAGATCGCAATGTCAGTACTCAAGTTG